GTTTGAGATATCTCATTACAAGCAAGTCAACAGCATACCTGAGAGACAACTCCCCCCCAAAAAATAAATAGAAGCAGCCATAACCAAGAGTTGGAAATAATCAAACTCAGGGCTGAAATCAATAAATTAGAACAAATAAAGCGTTTCAAGGAATCAGTTAAACCAAGAGCTGGTTCTTTGAGAAAATCAACAAGATAGACAAACCTTTAGGTAAACTAACTAAAAGGCAGATAGAATCTATTCATATAAGCAAAATCAGAAACGAAAAGGGGGACATAACAACAGACACTGACTGAGGAAATTCAATGAATCAGTATGTCATACTTCAAAGGCCTATATGCCACAAAATTTTAAAATCTTAATGAAATGGACATTTTTCTTGATAGATTCTAATTACAAAAGCTAAACCAAGATCAAGTAAATAGATTAAACAGTCCTATATTCCCCAAGGAAATAGAAGCAGTCATCAAAAGCCTATCTGCCAAAAAATTTTCAGGGCCTGATGTTTCACTTCAGAATTCTACCAGAACTTCATAAAGCTAACACCAATGTTCTTTAAACTTTTCCAGAAAATAGAAACAGAAAGAACATTACCGAACTCATTCTTTGAAGCCATAGTCAACTTGATACCTAAACCAGAGAAAGAACCTCCACAAAAAGAAATCTTCAGACATATCTTTCTTATGAACATTGATGAAAAAAATACTTTAAAAAAATACGTGCAAACCAAATCTAAGAACACATAAAAGATATCATCCAGCATGACAAAGCAGGCTTCATACCAGGCATGGAGGGGTAGTTCAATATATGAAAATCTGTCATTGCAATCCACTGCATAAACAAACAGAAGGAAAAAAAAAACACATGATCATCTCCTTTGATACCAAAAAATGCATTTGACAAAATCCAACATCCATTCATGTTTAAAGTATTGGAGAGATCAGGGATACAAGGCACATACTTAAACATAGTAAAGGTGATATACAGCAAGCATATAACTAACATCAAACTCAATGGAGAGGATTTTAAATCAAGGCCACTGAAATCAGGGATAAGGCAAGGCTGCCCACTCTCTCCATATCTCTTTAACATTGTACTTGAAGTTCTTTTTTTTTCCTTTTTTTTATTTATTTTTTTTGTATTTTATTTTTTTCTTATCAGTTACATTTTATTAACTCTGTACCCCAGCCGTGTCCCGATCCCTCATTCCCTCCCAGTCCCTCCCTCCCTCCCTCCTCAGAGCAATAAGACAACTAAAAGTGATCAAGGGAATACAAATTGGAAAGGAAGGTGTCAAAGTATCACTATTAGATGATATCGTAGTAAACCTGAGTGACACCAAAAATTCAACCAGAGAACTCCTTTATCTGATAAATACCTTTAGCAATGTGGCTGGATACAAAATTACCCCCCCCCAAAAAAAAAATCAGTAGCCTTTCTGTTTACACAAAACAAAAGAGCTGAGAAAGAAGTTAAGGAAACAACACCCTTCACAATAACCACTAATAACATGAAGTATTTTGGTATGACTGTAACCAAGCAAGTGAATGACCTGTTTGAAATAAAGTTAAGTCTTTAAAGAGCTAAATTGAAGAAGATATCAGAAGAGGAAAGATCTCTCATGTTTATGGATTGGTAGGATTAACACAGTGAAAATGGCCATCCTGACAAAAGTTATCTAGAGAGTAAATGCAATTCCCATCAAAATACCAACACAATTTTTAGAGACTTTGAAAGAACAATTCTCAATTTCATATGGAACAACCAAAACTCTAGAATTGCTAAAACAATCCTGTACACTATTAGATCTTCTGGAAGAATCTCCATCCCTGATATCAAGCTGTACTATAGAACAACAGTAGTAAAAACTGCATGGTACTGCCATACAAACTGAATGGTGGATCAATGGAATCAGATAGAAGACCCAGAAATAAACCCACATACCCATGGATACTCGAACGTTGACAAAGATGCCAAAACAATAAAATGGAAAAGAAAGAACCTGTTCAACAAATGATACTTGTATAATTGGATGTCTACATGTAGAAAAATGCAAATAGATCCATATTTATCACCCTGTAGAAAACTAAAATCTAAGTGTATCAAAAGACCTCAAAATAAAACCAGACACACTAAACCTTTTAGAAGAAAAAGTGGGGAAGAGCCTTGAACTCATTGACACAGGAGACAACTTCCTGAACAGAACACTAAAACACAGGCTCTGAGATCACAAATCAATAAATGGGACCTCATGAAACTGAAAATATTCTGTAAAGCAAAGAGCATTGTAGTCAGCACAAAATGATAGCTTACAGATCAGGAAAGGCTCTTTACCAACCCTATATCTGACAGAGAGCTAATATCCAGAATATATAGGGAACTAAAGAAGTTAAAAAGCAACAAATCAAGTAATCCAGTTAAAAAGTGGGGTACAGAGATAAACAGAGAATTCTCCACAGAGAAATATGTATGGAATGGCAGAGAACACTTAAATAAATGTTCATCATCCTTAGTCATCAGGGAAATACAAATCAAAACAACCCTGAGATTTCCCTTGTACCCATCAGAATGGCTAAGACCAAAAACTTACATGACAATATTTGCTGGAGAGGATGTGGAGAAAAGGGAAATCTCCTCCATTTCTGGTGGGAATGTAAAACTTGTACAACCACTTTGGAAATCATTCTGGTGCTTTCTCAGAAAATTGGGAACAGTACTTCCTCAGGATCCAGTTATTGCACTCTTACGTATATATCCAAAATATACTCAGATATACAAGAACTCTCAACCATGTTCATAGGAGCTTTATTCATAATAGCTAGAACCTGGAAAAAACCCAGATGCTCCTCAAATGAGGAATAGCTACAGAAATTGTGGTACATTTACACAGTGGAATACTTCTAAGGAATTAAAAACAAGGAAATCATGAAATTTGCAGGCAAATGGAAGGAACTAGAAAAGATCATCCTGAGTGAAGTATCACAGAAACAGAAAGACACACATGGTATATACTCACTCATAAGTGGATATTAGCTATATAATATAGGATAAACATGCCAAAATCTATACTTGTAAAGAAGCTAAACAACAAAGAAGGCCCTAGAGAAGATGCTCAATCTTCATTCAGGAGGACAAACGTGATAGGCATTGGAAGCAGGAGAAGACAGTGAACAGGACAAGAGCCTACCAAAATTGATCTCTGTGAGACTCTGCTGATCAAGGTATGGAAGCAGAGGCTGAGACTCAAAACCAGTCTTCGGGCAGAGTGTAGGTAATCTTATGAAAGAATGGAAAGATAGAAAGACCTGGAGGGGCCAGGAGCTCCAAAAGAAGACCAGTAGAGCCAAAAGAGCTGAGCCTGGGGGACCTGCAGAGACTGATACCCCAACCAAGGAGAACGCATGGATGGACTTAAAACCCTGCTCAAATGTAGCCCATAGAATCAGTCTCCAAGTGTGTTCCTTAATAATGGGAGGAGAGGCTTTTTCTGGCATGAACTCAATGAAAGGCTTTCTGATCACCTCCCTGGGGTGTGTGTGCAGCTTTGCCAGGCTACAGAGGAAGACAATAGATCCAGTCTTGATAAGATCTGATAGACTAGGGTCAAACAGAAGGAGAGGTAGACCTCACCTATCAATGTATTAGGGGAAGGGAATAGCGAGAAAAGAGGGAGGGGGCCACAACCAGGATACAAAATGAATAAATTGTAATAAATGATAATATTAAAAATTAAATAATAATAATAATAATGAAAAGAATATATGAAAAATTATTCAGAGCCACACATTTATCTACTATTGATATGCCAATATGCCAATATGTGAAGTTCTAACTTAGCTATATGTTAACCTGAAGGATGGAGAGAAAAAGATAATGAGTGGAGAATAATATGAGCAATGAGAAGACTTTTATTGAAGTGTATTGTGCTGATATTACTTCAGTAATGAATATGTTGAGAAGACATGCAAATAACATCAAATAAACACTAAATGAAGTGAAAGGTGATATTTATAGCCAGAACATACCTTTTAGAAGGGCTAGAAAGGGCAGAAATTTAAGACAAATAAGTTATCAAGTAAAATGAACATACTAGCTTTTCAGAGAGTGATAAAGAGAAAAAGGAGATGAATGGGATCCCTTGTTAACAGAACAGGAGCTGTCTCTGAGATGGCTGCTGGGGGGAGGGGTGCAGCCTTACCAGACCACAGAGGAAGACAATGCAGCCAGTCCTGATGAGATCTGATATGCTAGGGTCAGAGGAAAGGGGAAGAGGAACTCCCCTATCAATGGACTTGGAGAGGGGAATGGGAGGGGAAGAGGGAGGGAGGTCAGGATTGGTAGGGAATGAGGCAGGGGTGGGGGACTACAACTGGGATACAAAGTGAATAAATTGTAACAAATTAAAAATGTTTAATTTATTATTAATTACAATTATTAGTAATTTTTTAAACAAAAGAGGTGAGGAAAAGTGGGGTCAGTGCTATATAGAATGAGATTAGGAAATGACAATGTTTTCAAGTGAGTCAGAAGATCATCTCTTTAATGAGTATGTACCTGCAGCTCTATACAGATTATCTATATCAAACTACTACAAAAAACCATTCTTACAAATATATCGTGTGTACCAATATATAAGGGAAACAGAACTCTCATATATTTATAATGGGGAATAAAATCAGTCCAGCTTTTGTGGAAGTTAATTTGACATAATTTGTCAATCTTCAGTATTTATCAAAATTAAAAACACATAGATAATTTCAATAAGTTTTACTTCTAAACAAGTGATGTCAACAATGGGATACACATAAAATTATTAACTTTATTACTTTAAAAAATACTTAATGAGTTGGGGGGCATGGAACATGCCTGTAATCCCAGCCTTTAGGGAGACAGAGGCAGGTGGATCTCCATAAGTTTGAAGTCAGCTTGGTTGACAAAGGAAGTCCAGGACAGCCAAAGCTACCCAGAGAAATCTTGTCTTCAAAAACCAAAAACCCTGCTTGCTTAGGCAGCACATGTACTAAAATTGGAACAATACAGAGAAGATTAGCATGACCTTTGCACAAGGATGACACGCAAATTGGTGAAGCATTCCATATTTTTAAATCAATCTGGTGCTTTCTCAGACAATTAGGAATAGCGCTTCCTCAAGACCCAGCTATACCACTCCTAGGCATATATCCAAAAGTTGCTCAAGTACACAACAAGGACATCTGCTCAACCATGTTTGTAGCAGCTTTATTTGTAATAGCCAGAACCTGGAAACAACCCAGATGTCCATCAACGGAGGAATGGATACAGAAATTGTAGTATTTTTCACAATGGAATATACTACTCAGCAATCAAAAACAAGGAAACCATGAAATTTGCAGGCAAATGGTAGGATCTAGAAAAGATCATTCTGAGTGAGGTATCCCAGAAAGAGAAAGACACACATGGTATATACTCACTTATATAGACCTATAAGATATGATAAACATGATGAAATCTATACACCTAAAGAAGATAAACAAGAAAGAAGACCCGGGGTAAGATGATCAATCCTCACTTAGAAAGACAAATGGGATGGGCATTGGACGTAGGAGAAAACAAGTAACAGGACAGGAGCCTACCACAGAGGGCCTCTGAAAGACTACCTAGCAGTGTATCAAAGCAGATACCAAGACTCATAACCAAACCTTGGGCAGAGTGTAGGGAATCATATGAAAGAACAGGGAGTTAGTATGAGGTAGAGAGGATAGGAGCCCCACAAGGACCAAATATATCTGGGCACAGGGGTTTTATATAAGACTATTTCTCCAACCAAGAGCCTTGTATGGATATAACCTAGAACCTCTGCTTGGATGTAGCCTGTGGTAGCTCAGTAACCAAGTGGGTACCCTAGTAAGAGGAACAGGGACTATTTCTGACATGAACTCAATGGCAGGCTCTTTGACCTCCCCCTACCCCCCAAGGGAGGAGTAGCCCTGCTAGGCCACAGAGGAGGACTTTGCAGCCATTCCTGAAGGTACCTGATAAACCAGGGTCAGATGAAAGGGGAGGAGGCCCTCCCCTATCAGTGGACTTGAAAGGGGCAGGGAGGAGATGAGGGAGGGAGGGTGGGATTGGAAGGGAATGAGGGAGTGGAATACATCTGGGATACAAAGTTAATAAAATGTAACTAATAATAAAAATAAAAATAAATGAAAAAAAAGTGAGCTCAGAGGCCTAAACCATTTTCACACATGTTCTTCTTATTGATACTTTCACACATGTTCTTCTTATTGGTAAAATAATGAATTTCTTCAGAAAAAGAAAACAAAGCCTGAAAACCAAAAATAAATAAAGAAAGGAAAGAAAAGAAAAAAGAACAGCTAAATGAATTAAACTTTCTGTGTGTTCACCAAGAAGCTACAAGAGTTTGGATCTTAATTGCTCCTCTCAAAAATACAAGTGTTGGAACTTAGTCCCTGTAAGGATTTATTGGGAGGTGGTAAAACTTTTTGTTTGTTTGTTTGTGTTTTGATATAGAAAAGATTTATTGTGGAAAGGGGGAGAGGAGAGGGAGAAGCAGGTTGGGGCCCCAGAGAGACAGAGAGAAGAAGAGAAACCAAGGGAGTGAGAGTTAGAGAGGACACAAGGGGTGCCAAGCAGGTTCTTATATCCAGTGCACCTAGCACTCACCTGGCAGAGGCAGGTGAAGATGTCAGCGGTTCCTAGGTAGTAGTAAAACTTTTAAGAGATGGGATCTTATTGCGGGTGGGGGAGCACTTTGCCTCACAGGAGTGTGGCCATGAAACTGACACTTTCTTTTGTTTTTTTACCAACTATGAAATGAACAGCTTTTCTCTGCCAGGCATTGCTATCCTGATGTAATGTCTTTTCATGGGTCCAATCCAAACAATTTATCAGAGGGTAGAGTTTCTAAAACTGTTAGTTAAAATAAACCTGTTCTATTTGTAAGTTCGTTAACAGATATTTTGTTATGGTGAACAGAAGCTAACTACAATTGTGACAATGGGATACTGTAAACATTTTATAATACACTTAAGCATTTGGTAACTCAGCAGCTGTTGAACATAATGACCTTTAAGACTCTTACTTGCTTGGTTAGAGTCACACCAAGGTACTTTATGTTATTAGTGGCTATTGTGAAGGGTGTTG